GGCATCCACGAAACAACTTTGGTGTTCTTCTCTATCCAGATTACCCCTCCTGCCCTCCACGAGGGCACACACAAGAAACAGGAAGCTTTCAACACACCCAGATACCACGTGTGCTTCCTGCACCAGCTGTGCATGGAGCTCAAGGCATAACACAGCCATACAGACTGCTGCACTGGCACTGAAGATGCTCAGAGCTCCACTTTGCCTAACAAGCTGCTGATATCCTCCACGTTTTGCAAATCAAGCTCAACTTGAATTCTAAATGTTTGATTCCAAACCAGACAGCATCCCCTGCTCTTACTTTCCACTCCTTCAGTTTTGGTTGCTGCTCTTTACCGCATCTCCTCTTTGCTTCCATAGATTCTGTTTTCCTTCTGGCACGTTGCTCTGCTCTGCCTGAGAAAGAAGCTCTGTCTCTGGCTTCGTATTCTACCTTTGTTCCTACAGTTTCTGCAAGCTAGACAGGAAAAATGATGCCATCTCTTTGAATTCACACGGCAGTGTTACGATGCAGGAAGAACTACCCGCTGACATGGCACTGTTTCCATCTCAGTGACCAACCCATGCGGAAGATCTCTGGGAGGTACAAAGAAGTTACATGGGTGTCACTTGGAGCGCAGTGCATTTGCTGCATCTCTCAGAGGAAAACACACTTCTCTGTACCCACGAGCTGAAGCACGTGGAACTTCACGCAAACAAGCACGCTCCTGACATGAGAACACTGACCAGCAAGCTTTGATCCCAGCGAGGCTTTACGTCACTTTGGCAAACATGTCACAAGAAGACATCTCTGCATTAATGCAAACAATTGCAAGATCATCGTGGGTGTGAGATTAGACATCGGCTACAGGTCCATTGGATTTACGTGCACATGCTGTGTCGGGGGAAGGGATTTTACTGCATCTTATTCCAACAGCTGCACACAAAATACAAGCAGTAAGTGCACGTGTAAGTTCACTCACACTGCTGTATTGACTTTGATTTACGGCGTGCATTTCAGACACCATGTGGGGAATGAAGACAGACATCGTCAGTAAGAAAATCAAGACAAATTTCCTTCCTAAGGTACAAAAAAACAACCAACCCACAAGAGTGTCAGCAAGTTATACACACAGTAAAGAGCATGGTAATGTTCACTAACAATACTAATTCCTTACACCCATCCACTACTCGTAGTTTCCTTTTGTTTCATGAACTAAGACAGCTGCACAGATAACAGACATCTACCAGCTCTGAGCTGATGGTCCTCTTTCTTCATCCACTGTTAACTAAGTAACAGTCTCATTAAATGCTCAAATTACATGGCTTGCTTCATGCACAATCCTACCTCGTGCTGATAGAACGCAAGGATAGGTCTCTTGAGGGGGAAGCACACCGATCCCGTTGACAGAACAGCCACTGCTGGTCTCATCACATTTAGTGTGGCACCAAACGGATACACAAAAGTGAGAGCCCTGCAGAAAATACAGACTCCTTAAGTGCCTGCATGCATCAGATAGGCTCGTCTCATCTATAAAACAGACTATCTGCCTAAGCTGAGAAGTTCAACCGTGCGCTGATGGTGGAATGCCAAGAGCCCCGTTTGAGAAACTCAGACCACCGCAATGACATGACTTTCCAGGAGGTGTTTCTCTTTAGAAAGAAACAGGGTTCCTCTTCTCTACAGCTAGAGCACTCACTAACCAGAGCTCGTGCCTATTCATGTTCAATCAAACTCAAATACAGAGAGAAGGGGGGGGGGGGGGGGGAAATATCTGGTCAGGGAAGTAATAATTCCCCTCAAAATCTATCTATCATTCCTGCTCTTTACTTGCTATCAAGAGTCACTGAACAGCCTTCTTTCCAGATAAAGCCTTGGGAAGCAAGAAGCTAACTGACATACATACATTAGAAAAGCTCAGCATCAATTCCTAAATAAATTCCTGCCCACGGAGGCTATCAGTGGACAGGGAGGCCAAAGCTTTTCACACCAGCTGCCCCAAAGCAAAACACTTACTGTGAGTCCTGCCCGTCCCCATCTTCACCTGTTGTCTCAAGCCCTGTTTTTCTTGCAGCTTCACTGATTCCCCTACAGCAAATTGAAAGCAAAGCCTACTGAAAACACTACGGGCTAAAAGAGTTCATTGTGAAGATGCACAGAGCCAAAATACCCACCTATTCAAAACTCCATCAGTGATCAGTGCTTCTTTTGGATGGAAGTACTTGTAATACACATTTCGTACAACAGCATCTCGGATAAAAAAATGAAATAAGAGGCAATCTGTACCTTAACTGGTCAGTATGCTAAACGTAGCCATGTAAACGAGTTTAGCTCTGGGCTCCCTTGAATGTTTCTTTCTAACACTGCCAAGCTGGCACGTGGCCCCCAGAAAAGTTCCTGTCAGTCTTCACTATTGCTTCCTTCCGGACATAAAGATTTAGACCAGCAGCATATTTGCAAAATAAAACTATGAAAAACGACCACATGTCTTCTGCATGTTCTTAGATTAAAAAACAGTTAAAAGAATTCTTACCAAAGCTTTTAATACATCTCCTAAAGCACGATGATGACCAATAGCACTGACGCACAAAAAAACAGAGAGCAAACAAAAGGAAAACAAAAAATACCAGCCTAGATGCCATCAAAGAGCCTACAGATATTTCCTGTACGCCGAGGCACACGGTTGATTTACACTTTGGCAGCGCAAAATGGATTGCACGGCACTGGTCTCCTCCAAGAAAGTGCCACAGCTGCTTCAGGTGAGGTACGGGGATGGCCAAATTGTTACCAAGCTGCTGTGCCTGTGGAAAGCCCTCGGGGTGCCTCAGCATTACTCTATAGAGCACATACAGATATCAAGAGAAACGCAGCCTGAAAAGATCCAAGGGCACATTTTGTGTGCAGGACCTGCAGAGCTCACACCCTACAGACTGCACTGCCCTTAGCTTTCCTAGGAAATGAAAGAATAAAAGGTGTCAGTGAGCCCCACTACCGTTATTGAAAGCGATCCCGTATTCTTCTAACAGAACGTTAATGTTTGTGCCACGTCTGGACTCGCCGCCTTCACTGAGCATCACCAGGATGGCTCCACCATCCTCCAGGAATTTCTTCAGGACCGAAAACTAAAAGACAACAAGCATCCAGAAGAAAATCGGAAGCGAAAGAAGACAACAGCAAGACTGCAAGAATCACAGCATGGCCTGGGCTGCAAAGGAGCACAGCGCTCATCCAGTTCAACCCCCTGCTGTGTGCAGGGCCACCAGCCACCAGACCAGGCTGCCCAGAGCCACCTCCAGCCTGGCCTTGAATGCCTCCAGGGATGGGGCATCCACAGCCTCCTCGGGCAACCTGTGCCAGTGCACCACCACCCTCTGAATGAAAAACTTCTTCCTAATATCCAACCTAAACCTCGCCTGTCTCAGTTTAAAACCGTTCCCCCTTGTCCTATCACCATCCCCCCTCATAAACAGCCGTTCTCCCTCCTGTTTACACGCTCCCTTCAAGTACCGGAAGAAGCTACACTGAGGTGATTCTGACAACTGCAGTGAATTTGATGCTATGAGAAAAGCATTCCAATCTCAAGCTGTGTAAATTCATACAAAGCAGTAACGTCCAAAATCGTCTACGCTGTTATTTCCTATTTTGTTGTAAGATTTGCTTAATGCACAGCCTACGTGCAAACAGGTATGGTTTTAAGTGGCGGGAGGGAAGATTTAGGTTGGATGCCAGAGGGAAGTTCTTTACAGATGACGGTGAGGTGCTGGAACAGCTGCCCAGAGAGGCTGCGGATGCCCCGTCCCTGGAGGTGTTGGAGGCTGGATGGGCAGCCTGGGCTGGTATTAAGTGTGGAGGTTGGTGGCCCTGCCTGCGGCCGGGGGGTTGAGCTTCACGATCCTTGAGGTCCCTTCCAGCCCTGGCCATTCTGTCACTCTGTGATTCTTACCTCAGCAGCGCTGAACTTTTCTCTCGGACCAGCTGTTATCCACAGTTTCACTCCGAGGAGCTTCTCAGACGTGATCTCACCTTTTAAGCTACAAACGGACAACAAAACGACACGGCATTCTTGCCCTGAACCACAACCTTACTGAGAACTGACAAATAAGCATTAAGCGAATCACTCCAGTCGCTTCAATCCCTTCGTTTCGGTTTCGAATTCACAACCTCTCGAACACAAAGCGCCGTCAGCGAGGCCCCGCGGCACAGCCACAACCCGGCCCTCACAGAGAGCAAAATCCGTGCCAACGAAGGCCCTTCCTTCTGCGCCCCGACACCCCGAGCCGGGCAGCCGAGCTGCGCAGCACCGCCAGGACGGGGGGAGCGGCGGCCCGGCCCTCACCTCAGGATCTCCCAGCTCCCTCGGAGCCTCTTACGCCAGGCTTTGTAGCTGCTGGCGGGAGTGAAGGCTTCTCCTTTGGAAGCGCTGAAGACGACGGCGGTCCGCGGGCACTCCGCCATACCGCACGCAACGGCTAACGGCCGCCCGGTAACGCACCGCCCGCGCATGCGCAGCAGCCCGCGCTGGGCTGCGTCTCCCAGGAAACACTGCGGCTGGGATCGTACCGACAGCCGCCGGTAGGGGGCGCTGCGCCGTCCAGCCACCCCCGTCCCCCCGGAGACAAGGAGGCGGGAGCGCACGGCGGTGCGTTGCGCTTTAATTGAAACCGCGTGGTGGCTGCGGCGCTGCCGCACGTACAAGAGAAAGGTTCCGTACGAGCTTCCTCAGCGCCAACAGCACTCGCCCCCTTTTTCCTCCTCCCAGCAGCAGTAAGAAAAGGACTGGAGGAAAGAAAGGGGGGAAGCGGTGCTCAAGCAGTACATCGGCATTTACGTTCAGGCAGAACAAAGATCGTGCGCACATCGCGACAGCCAGCGCCAGAGCAACGCGGGCACCCCAAGGCTTCTGTTGCTGCTGAGGAGCAGCTCTTAGGAGAGCACAGGATCCGCAGCCCTGCCAGCAGCGACTGACAGCTGCTGAGCCCAGCACGAGGCTGCTCTTCCTCCCCCCAGCAGCGCTCCCTCCTTCCACCAAGGCGGCTCTGCTTCTTCAGCGGCGTCCACTGAGCTCCTCAGTTCTGCTCTGAAGTACTGAAATCCAACGAGCACCTCCAGGCAGGAGCAGGGGAACGCCTGCAGCTACGAGCTTTTGTAGTGGCCCTGCGCAGAAGGCTTGCTGAACCGCCCTGCTTGAACTCCAGCCTTGCTCCTGGGATCAGATCGTCCTTTTCCCAGCCATTCAGATGAGCGCATCCTACTTCAAAAGGAAGAAGCCCACGAGCTTCCCACTGCTGTGCTGTGAAGTTTCCCTTTGTTACAAGGCAGCGTTAGCTCCACACCATAGAAATGACCTGTTCCAGAGATGTGGCTGTGATGTGCGTGATGGTACATATATCTTAGTCATAAATACAACCACGGTGAATACAACCCTACCAAATAGTACAGAGATAATTGTTAGTGTCTCACTTTCCTTGCTACAGGAACACCCACTTAGAGGCAAATCCACCAAGCAGCACAAACTAAGAGCTCCGTTCCATCCCACCCAGTTAGTGTATTAGTCCCCTGGTTTAGACCATGAGAAAGTGACATTACTATTCCTTTCGGAAACTGAAACGAGAAAAGCCACAGCAATAACAGCAAACATAAAATTGCATTCAGTTAAAACCTGGCTTCTGAAAGCCTGTATAAAATCTAGAAGTCCTCTTCAGTTGGTGCATAAGAAAATCCTAAAAAAGCATCTGAGGCACTGGAGCTGCTGGCTGCTAAGTCAGGTATGTGGGTGATGGAGGCAGAGATGGCTTCCTGGGTGAACTCTGGGTCGAAGTGCCGCAGATCAGCTGGGCCAGCCTACAGGGGCAGAGGGACGCATCATGTTGGGCAAGCAGAGCCCAAGCACCTGCTTGTGGCCCAGCCCTTATCACCACCCTTGCAGTGTGTAACCTGCACTTCAGCATCCCTCGCTGTCACTGAGGGACGCCTGGGGAAGAGCCTTTGACCTTGCAGCCTCAATTCCTTGTGGGCCAGCCGCTATAAGGCAGACCCCCAATTAAATGCACACTTACCACATTAGGGTTGAACGGAGGGGTAATCCTCTTGTGGTACAAGTCATCCCAGTTTATTGGGCTGAAGAATACGTGGTTCTTTATCTCAAGCTGCATGGAAAGGGGGAGGAGATGTCAGTTGCCTGCTAACGCTTCTCTCTCAGCACCTGCCAGCTAGTTTCGTAGCTGTAAGTCATTGAAACAAGACTTGGAGCTGCCACATGAACCCTACGTGGACGTGTAGTAAGTCTTTAATCCACGAGGGTCATAGTCCTGTAATACCTGGAAGGGATGAGATGACACCACTGCAGGTATTCTAGCTTGCCACCACATCCTGAATCACAGCATTTCCCTTCAGGAATGAGCCAACCCCATCTACCTCTTTTAGGGAACTGGAAAGACCTACCTACATGGAAAGCCTTTCCCAAGGCAGTGCTGTTACCACAAACATATATAAAGCTCATCGTAGGAAGCCTTCTTATCCATCCTCCCTCCTAATCATAAGAGAGGCCACCTACAAAGTCTGTTTTGGCACCCAGCCTCCTCTTCTGGTCCTTGTGGAGAAGTCTGGATTGCTCTGGAAACAAGGCTGTGTCACCTGGGAAGAGTACAGGAACGCCGTCCGGACTTGCAGACGTGGGATCAGGGAAGCCAAGGCGCAGGCAGAACTGAACTTGGCAAGGGACGTGAAAAACAATAAGAAAACCTTCTACAGGTACATTGGCCAGAAGAGACAGGCCAAAACGGGCGTACCTACTTCGGTAAATTTAAAAGGAGAACTGGCTTCAACAGATGAAGAGAAAGCTGAGGTGCTGAATGAGTTCTTCACCTCGGTCTTCACTGGTGGCCAGGATTGTAGTCTTCTTCACGTCCATGAACCCTGCATCCCCAAACCTCTATGTGGGGACCAAGGAGGTAAATCCCTCCCCACTGTAAGGGCAGAGCAAGTCCGAGAGTGCCTCCTCAGACTGAATGAATACAAGTCTATGGGGCCGGATGGCGTGCATCCCAGGGTCCTGAAGGAGCTGGCTGAGGTGGTTGCCGAGCCGCTCTCCATCATATTTGAGAAGTCGTGGCTGTCAGGTGAGGTCCCGGATGACTGGAGGAAGGGTCACGTCATTCCCATATACAAGAAGGGGAGCAGGGAGGACCCGGGGAACTACAGGCCGGTGAGTCTCACCTCCGTGCCTGGGAAGATCATGGAACAGATCCTCCTGGACAACATGCTCGATCACATAAAGAATGAGCTGTGATCCGAGACAGCCAGCACAGCTTCACCAAGGGAAGGTCATGCCTAACTAATCTTGTGGCCTTCTATGATGGAGTGACGGCATTGGTGGACGAAGGGAAGGCGACCGATGTCATTTACCTGGACCTGAGCAAGGCCTTTGACATGGTCCCCCACCACATCCTCATCTCCAAATTGGAGGGAAGTGGATTTGATGGGTGGACGACCCGATGGATAAGCAATTGGTTGAAAGGCCGCAGACAGAGGGTGGTGGTCAATGGCTCTATGTCCAGGTGGAGGCCGGTAACAAGTGGTGTCCCCCAAGGGTCTGTCTTGGGACCGGTGCTCTTTAACATCTTTATTAATGACATCGATGAAGGAATTGAGTGCACCCTCAGCAAGTTTGCTGACGACACCAAGCTGAGTGGTGCGGTTGATACGGTGGAAGGAAGGGATGCCATTCAGAGGGACCTCGACAGGCTTGAGGGCTGGGCTCGGGTGAACCTACTGAGGTTCAACACGGCAAAGTGCAAGGTTTTGCATTTGGGCCGGAAGAACCCCAGGCACCCGTACAGGCTGGGAGGAGTGTGCCTTGAGAGCAGCTCGGCAGAGAAGGACCTCGGGGTCCTGATGGACGAGAGACTGAACATGAGCCAGCAGTGCGCTCTGGCAGCTCGAAAGGCAAATGGGATCCTGGGCTCCATCAGGAGAGGGGTGGTCAGCAGGGACAGGGAGGTGATTGTCCCTCTCTACTCGGCTCTTGTGAGGCCCCACCTGGAGTCCTGTGTCCAGGTGTGGAGCCCTCAGTACAAGAAAGACATAGAGATCTTGGAAAGGGTCCAGAGGAGGGCGACTAAGATGATCAGGGGGCTGGAGCACCTCCCCTATGAGGACAGGCTGAGGGAGTTGGGCTTGTTCAGCCTGGAGAAGAGAAGGCTGCGGGGCGACCTCATTGCAGCCTATCAATACCTGAAGGGAACCTACACCCAGGAGGGGAGTAAACTCTTCAGAAGGGCTGATAACAGCAGGACTAGGGGAAATGGATCCAAGTTGAAGGAAGAAAGATTTAGGTTGGATGTTAGGGGGAAGTTCTTCACAAGGAGAGTAGTTAGGCCCTGGAACGGGCTGCCCAGGGAGGTTGTGGATGCCCCGTCCTTGGACGTGTTCAAGGCCAGGTTGGACGGGGTCCTGGGCAACCTGATCTGAATGTGTATGTTTGGTGGCCCTGCTAGGCAGGGGGCTTGGAACTACATGATCCTTGAGGTCCCTTCCAACCCGGGTGATTCTGTGATTCTGTGATTCTGAGAAGTCCATGGAGGATATCACAGGCTGCCACAGTCTTGCTTCCTTGGATCTGGAGTTGCTTGTGGAGAATGTTGTCATACATTTGAGACACGTCCCGGCTATAAAAGGGAGGCTAATGTGAAAGAGAAGAGAAGCAGCCTGTCAAGTACAAGCTGTGGTAAGGAACCACACATCCTTGGCCAAGATGTGTCCCACAGTGAGAAGTTAAGGGCAACCTGAACTCTGTTCCAATGGTTAAGGGCATGATTGAATCCTGCATGCAGTTACCTGCCTCAGTTGCCCATACCAAGTGCCATAGGAACATGAGGTTGACATCACTTCACACATTTGGAAAATAAGTTCTCCACTAAGTAAAATGTCTTCTAAACTTACCAGTCCAAAAAGCATCTCATAGAGGACAGCTCCAAGGCACCACCAGTCTACTGTCCTGTCGTACGGCTGCTTCTTTAGCACCTCAGGAGCCAAGTACTGGAAGTCAGAAGTAGATACTGTAGTCCACCCACACAGGGAGGGGTTCACCTTTGTAAGTATGCAAACCTGACTGCAGTTCAAGTTCAGCAAATCCATTCGGAAGAACACAGCGGCATCTTCAAATAGGCTTACAAGGATTCTCCGTTTGCAGAGACACCCACCAACACCCAACTCCCCACAGAAAAAAAGTCGCTTTCCTGGGCTACAGAGTGCTTTCTCCCTAGAAAGGGCTGATACAGGGCTCCCTGTATCAACGAGGCTCTCCCCCTCAGCTCATAGCAGAGCTCCACACGGGCCATACCTCAGGAGTGCCGCAGAACGTAGAGGTAGTCTCTTCTTCCTCCATTCCTTCCTTGCAGAGTCCAAAATCTGTCAACACCACGTGTCCCTGACAAAAAGAATTTCAGCCTGGCCCACTCTCTCATGAGAAACAGCAGGATTGCCAAGCATTGGCCACCACATTTAACCCAATCTATGTTTTAGTGTCCCACTGGTCACTTGTTTTCCTTCCCCTCGCCTCCTGGGTGTCCTATCACGCAAGTAGGAAGTCTATGGAGAAAATAAGTAAGTACAGACATTTTCTAAAGTTTCGCTACAGCTGCACCACTGTGATGACATCCAACGCTTCTGTGCCTCAGCACTGCCTTATCCCAAAGCCAGGTGGCATAGTGTCACCACCAGAGTAGCAGTGACTTACTCTCAGCACTCAAGTCCCTCCCCTCAAGCCAGGTCCCAGCTCTTGGGACCAAGCAGAGTGTTTTGTATGCGGAGTTCTGCAGAGCGTGTGCTTGCTCCCTCTTGCAAGACCTGGACAGAAACTTAGTGGTACATAGAGGCAAAAATCCATGCGATGGAATGAGCCACGGCTTGTCAAACCATAGCTCTCTGGTTACGATGCCAATGCTTTCAAAAGGCAGCACAAGAGGTGCATATACCTGGCAATCCAGGAGGATGTTCTCAGGTTTTAAATCCCTGCAAGGCAAAAAACTTTTTGAGCAGATCAGGCTTTTCTAAATATCTGGCCTAAACAGCAACAGCATCAGGTGAAAGGGGGAGCTAACAAGACTTCATCAGCCAGCTCACCAAGACCTTTTCAAAGTGCAAACTCCCATTGCTCTTGGGCATTAAAATTTACATATTAATGTAGAACTGCTCTCATGCAGGGTCAGATATTAATTTTCATTTCACTGTGCATGATTTGTCACAGCAATTCTTATTTCCTTAGTAAGGTTTATCCTAAATCTTTGTATGCAACCAGAGTCTTGTCCCCACTACGGGGCTGGGGGTGTTTATTGCCCAGCAGGTCCCTCACGCTGCTGAATGCCACTATGCTTCACACAGACCTAAAAACCTCCTTTCCCTCCCCAGCCCTGCACCCAGCTGGCTGGTGGATCCGTTGCCCCTGCTCTCCCCAGCATGGACGTGTACCTTACCTATAGATGATGTTTAAGGAATGCAGGTAACCAATTGCACTAGCAACCTCTGCAGCATAGAATCTTGCACGGGGCTCACGGAAACAACGCTCTCTTTGCAAGTGGAAGAAGAGCTGAGACACAGACAAGAGGATTTATGGCCACTCCAAAAGCAGAAAGTTATCTTCTGGCCCACAAGCCAGCTACTCAAGGGAAAGCTGATTTATAGCAAGAGGCACACAGACAGCACCAAATAAGCCCAAACCAAGAAGCCTTATTTCACTATCTAAGCACCTTCCCAGGAACTGTTGCATTTGCCTTCCTCATATCAGTCCTGCACCTAAGAAGTCATTGCCCAAAACCTGGCCATCTGCTGGTCTAGTTAAGCTTCCTTGCTAGCTCTAACTCATGAGCCAGTTATAGGTGTACATACAATATGGTCACAAAACAGTGCTAACCTAAAAATCCCATGCGAGTCAGAACTCTGTGTGAACAAGACATCGGTGTTAATAGCACCTCCCAGCCTGTTTCAGGGAGCACTGAGAGGCACAGCTGTAGAGAGAGCAGCTGTTACAGTTCAGAAAAAGAAGCCTGACATACTGCAGTAGCATCACATCAGCTCTAGCCTGGGACTGAGAGCTGGCACGAGTGAGTTTTCCACGAAGTTCACCAACGCTGGAATTTCTCATGCTCTCCATGGGATTCTAAAGCGTCCCTAACTTTTTTCTCCGCCTACTTGTCTTGATCACCAGCTGGCACAGGTCATCCTCAGCAGTATTTTCACTTATAAGTGAGATGCTTGCCAGCCCCTCCTAGCTGTTCTTTCCAACAAAGTAATGTTATGCTTCACCATCGTTATCTCCTGACAAGAAAGTTTCAGGCAATAAAGCAGAATGGCTGGGAAGAACTGAGCAGAAGATTTAAAGTTGGTACTCACCTCTCCTCCATTTACATAATCAAGCACAAAGTAAAGCTTCTCCGAGGTCTGGAAGGAGTAGTGGAGGCCCACAAGGAAGGGGTGCTTGACATTTTTCAGAAGCACGTTGCGTTCTGCCATGATGTGGTTTTGCTGCAAAAAAGCAGGAGAGGAGACAGCTGTCCAGGACAGTCTGCTCTACAGACTCCCTGTTGTTCTGAGCCCACGAGGGATCCGAGAACCCTACGGGTCACATCCAGCCCCAAAGATGAAAGTACTCCCCCCCTCTCTAACTTTGCTTCATCTCACAGATAAATCCATGCTTACTGCGTGCATTGTTGACGTGAACGCTCACTTCAGCCACCAGATGGTTCAATTGCATTACCAGGATTGCTTAGATACCAGTCACCACTGTGTGTGTATGCATGGCCGAGGAGAGCAGGCGTACCTCCTTTTTCTTTAGGATGGTTTTCTTACGCAAGACTTTCACAGCACAAAAAGTCCCATCACACTTGCGTTTGGCCTTCTGGAAAAGCAGCAGCTTTCACATTAAAAAACATGGCAGATAAAGATAAGGCACCAGTGCACAAAGGCCTTACAAAGTGCTCGAGTGGGGCACAAATCAAGTTTTACAGTCGGGGTGTCTGATGAAATACAGAACTCTGCAAATATCAAAGGGCAACCTCAGAGAGTTGTTAAAAATCTCCAGCAGCACTGACACACAGTGTTAATGACAGTGACAGCTCTGTTCCTCTCACTGCTTATACCCTTGGCTATATTGCCACCGTGCACTGAGCTTCAATCTCTCACGGATGATGAATTCCACGTGAGTTTCCATTCCTGTGCAATACCTGGTTTAATGTCTCCCCGAGTTTCCTGCACAGTAGCAGCCTTTCCTAATAGAGATCCATTAAATCTTAACTTTTTAATCCCAACACCATTCGCGACGTCCTTCCAACCTTGAACAAGGCAGCAGTCTGTAGCATCATCACTGTCTGATTTCAACTCTTCCCCTCCCTGCAAAGAAACCTTCTGCTCCTACAGTCACAAACCTACCTCGCCTTGGTTCATTTTTGCAGAGATCCAAAAGGAGACTGCCTTGGGGGGCTACAGTAAGATATCTTCAGCATCTCCTATATTTACTGCTGTATTTTCTTTTGCCAGTTCACCAATCAGAGCAATGATCTTTCTCACCGTGCAGTTAAGGACTACATGTATGCCAAAAGGGCCCACAGTAAAACCGAGTAGAAGAAAATAAATACCAGAGCAAGAAATGACCAAACTTACATTTTCTTAGCATAAGATTTATTTATATATATATACATATATATATATATATATAAATATAACAAAATTGCAGTTTCAACAAAGAAACAGAAAAACAGGAAATAACCTGGAAAACACAAACATTTCCTCAAAAGGCATTAGTGATCCCAACTACTGCATGTAACCGATGCGAACATTCAGTGAAATACTCAGACAGTCTCAATCAATGTACTGAACACAGAGGTTGAAGAAAATTGCTAAGTCTGTTTTTAACAGATCCTCTCCATCCGGGGAAAGCCAGGTCTCAGTTACCATTCTGGGCTTCACTTGCGTCCGTATCACGTTCCTTAGGGAAGAGGAGAGGAGGAACAAAATCAGAACAAAACATTTCACTGTACAGATTATATGCTATCGTTTGCACAACTGGTGTCAGATTTGGACCTTAACTGAGCTGTTTGAGACACTTGTTAGTAAAAACAGCTGGTCTGCCTATAAGCATAAAGTACTTCTTCACTGCCAATTTGAACACAATACTCCTTGTAAGTAACAACGCAGGTTTCACATCTACATTTTTCGTTAGCAAGCATAGGAGCACCCATGAGGGCACGCTGCTTCTACATGTTGTGCATGCCAATGACTGGAATTACTCAAACTGCACTATCAGTACCCCCCAATTAAAACAAATGGGAGACTTAGTAAACAGCCCTACGCAATCTATACCACTGTAAGTATTCTGTGTCAAACACCAGGCGTCGACGGACTTTATTGTCCATCAAGTGCCTTTACGCACTGCTGTATCTCCTCCCTGTGACAAGAGCAGCTGCTACAAGGATGCATCATCCCAGTGCTGGCAGTATCAACAATTCACTTGTAACTCTGTTATTGAAAATACCTGATTCCGTTTCTTAAATTCAACCACTTGGAAGAAGACGTACTCCAGAATATGTTTGGCATCCCGCTTATCCTCTGGGAGCTTACTTGTTACTCCTAGGATATCCCCACACTTTCGAATATAAAACTCCAGGTCATCATCAGTACCTAAACAAGCATCGCAAGCAAAGAGGCAGCTGAGCATCACACATCTGGACCAGCAGGGCAAAAACATACTGCCAGTCTCCATTCCTTTCTGGCATCCTGGGGATACAAACAGGTTCACAGAACTAGCCATCATGTATTCCTGCAGCCAGTACGTTCTCATCTGGTCAGTACCAGACACTGAACTGCTGACTTCAAATCCAGTCCCCAGAAGAATAGAAAGGGAGGCCAGCAAGTCTCTAAAATAACAGCAGGCTTACAAATCAAAGCCCGTTTGGAAGAGGAAAAGACAGGGATAGGAAGAGGAAGATCTGCTGCTGCTAACCGATGTGTCGAGCTGTAAGTCATGAACCAGCTTCCAACACTCAAAGCATACTTGGCCCAGGATTACAAAAGTGCCTTTCCATAAATCATGACCAGGTCCAACACCTATTTTCTTACAAAAACTTGCATTGACACGTGTGAAAAATCAGTCTGCTCTGCTTACATTTGTTTGTAATCTCTGCAAGACGAGCTTGCTCAGAGGAAAATATTTCATCCAAGTCAAACAGCTCCAGAGGAGGAGGAGGCAAATCTCTGAAAAAAGGTGGAAAAACCTGGAAGAGAATTGAGAGAGCATGTTTTATTGACAATTATTTTCCTTATACTTCAAAAATCTCCAAGGCAACAGTTTTAGACTGCACTTCAGTAAACCTTCTATTAAATCAGAAGCAACTCCAAAGCCCAGCGTACAAACGTACATCCTTTCAAAAATCTCACGTGTGGTTTGCAAAAATAACTCAATATTTCAAGAGTTTAGTCTCCAGAATGCCAGAATGATCTCCTAGAACAACTGCAGATGCTGTATTTGCAGTTTGGTCTTACTTTTGTTCCAGGACATCCAGGTGATTCCATTTAGTACTGAGATAGTCGAGGTACTAAACAGACCATCACAACTCGCCTTGAAGCATTTCTGTGCTCATTGGGATGAGGGTATTTGCTTTCTCATGCAGTCACCACGTGTGCCACAACTGGGACTCTGCACTGAACAGGGCTGACAAGTGCTTAAAAGAGCACTCTATTGCTAAATGAACCTGTTTGCAAAGAGCACTGCAAGAGATATTACTTCCAGTTGACCCCTGAAACCAGCTGTAAGTTATCACAGCAACATTTCTTCAGTGGTCAAACCAAAGCACAAGCCACAGTGGCAGAGCTCAGACATAACACTAAGTGTGCCACCACTGAAGCTCACGGTGTTGGGGCCAGTCCAAATCTCTGCAAGTAAAAGTTTGGCCAGCCCTTGCTGTAGAAGACCAACACTTGATTTTCTTCTTCCCCCGAAAATGCAGAAGCTCAGAGAACAGTGGAACTGACTGGCTCCCCCCCAGCAGTACAATTCCATTGATCACAACACCACTATTTTCTGAAACACCACCACCTGTTTTCACAGTGAAAGCACAAACCCAAAGCCCTCCAGGGCCAGGAGCAGCTACACAAGTGATTATACATGCAAGGCATTCGTAGAGATTTAGAGAGTTTCTGTACCACACCAGATGCCACACTTTCAAGTTCTGCTGACTAAAACTAAAACCAGAAGGGTAAAAAAGCTACTTCTTAAGAGTCAAATATGTGGCAAGATCAGTATTCCTCTCCCTTTTTTTTCTTGAAAGAAACACAGAAACAACACACAGTGTGTCCATGTGAAACAAAAACCCTCCAGGTCCCGTGTCAGCAAGAATACTTACAGCTGGCTCCAAGGGAGGCAGAGGAGTCTCAAGTTGAGGCTCAATGAGTCGGAGAGGTTCATGCTTCACATTCAACTCTTCATAAGCTCTGCAGTAAGCACAAACCAACAAAACAAAAACCCAAAGCATGAGGAAAGAAACAACACCATTTGTACTTGCGTGCATTAAGGACTATAGAAGTTAATTTTCCACAAAGACACAAAGGTCAACATTTTGCAGAAATAACGGCACAAAAAAAATGGGCACCCACTGTTCAAAGGAACCCAGAGCACTACATGAGTAATAGCTGACTGTGAAAGCAAGCAAACTGAAGTTATGGCAGAGCAGACAACGACAGACGGACATGCAGAATGACAGAACAGAAGGAAGTCACAGCTCTCCATTAGTCAAACAGCTTTTGAAGGGATGGACGCACAAAGGAAAAAGCGATCCAGGTCAAAAGGAGCTGACTGGGGATTTCAACAGTTCTTCAGAGTTCCTAACAAAAGCCATTTAAAAAATGATTTGCTATGGGATCAGAAGGGACATTCCAGTACGAATTCACATCTAGGGAAAATAGAAACAACACAGAGTAAGAAGAGATGTCCAGCAAGCAGTGGAGTTTCATGGAATCTGTGCCAAGCCTGCTGTTATTCAACATGTTCTTACACGATCTGAGGAGCATAAGTTAGATGGGGCAGAGCTGCTAGTGATAGCAAAGTGATGAAACCAAGCAGCAGATAAATCTTCAGGCAGAGAATTTGCTGGGAAATGCAAAGATGGGAAAAACAGAGCTTCAGTAAATGCCAAGTAATAATACATGAATGGAAAAACAACCAGCTCTCAGACAGTATCTCCTCTTACCCCTCCAGAAAGTACCCAACATCGCTGCACGCAGTTCTACAAAAAGTACCAGTTCCTTGAGGCAACAACTGATAGAAGAAGTAAAAAAGAATGTCAGAAACTACGGCAAAATTCCTATCAAAGAGAAAACCTGGGAAACCAGAAAAAGAAACACACCTGCACAACAAGAAAAGACCACACTATCACCCTAAGAGCCCTGCTATATCCACAGTCAGAATGCGGCACGCAGTTCAGGTTCTTCTGCTAAGTGGTCACAATAAGCACAAAATAAGCAGAAAGTGGAGAAAGAAAAGAAAAAGAATGCAGCACGTGAAGAAATGAATGAGTTCAGAGCTGCTGACTTGAGAACTGCAGGGAGGGTGGTTGTGTCCAGCTCATACAGGGACGTATCAAACAGCTGTGTGAAGTCTCTTGGGTTCTCATCTCCTTCTTGCAGACAGACCCGCAGTTGCTCAGACAGTGCAGCTATATTTGGGAGCAAGGTGTAGTCTGAAACCTGAACACACACACAGACACACAGCACGTTGTTAAGAAGACCAAACCAATTACAGTCTCTTACTAGTTTACACCTCTCCTAACGCCACCCAGAAATAATTACTCCATTCTCCACCAGGCACCACCCCTTGCAGTGCAGCTTACACCAGAAAACTGCAGACTCCGTTCTCAGCTGCACCCTGTTCAC